GAAAAATGTATATCTATAGAAGATAAATTAAAGATAAATAAATTATTTCATCTGATAAAGACCTGATGAAAGTCTTCCACCTCAAGAATATCTTTGAACCTATAAATTTCAATTAAACTACTTTGTTATTGTAAACAAAAAAGTGTCAATCGGTGTTGACGACAGATATATATCGATCAGCCCCAACTTCGTATTCGATCTAGGCTAGGTAAAAATATTACGATGTGCATGATTTAGATAAATTGGATATTTCATTCGTTTCATATGAGATTTATATGTTTCAAATATTGACCCTTTGTGGGATAGGTAATATAAATAGTGGACCGATATGTCCCATTTCCTAACGCTATACAGGTATAGTTAAAACATTGGTAGTGCAAAGTTTTGTTAAAATCCGATAGTCCGATCGCATGATATTATACAATTAATTCTCAGCAAATTTTTGAACATTTTGTGTGGGAGGTATCAGAAGGAATGGACCGATGCGTCTCATCTTCGAACTGTGTTTAAGTTTGAAAGAAAGAATCTGATGCACACATGTTGTATAGTTATTGGATTACTAAATTTTCAAAATTGTGACCCTTTGTGAGGAAATACTAGAAGGATTGCGCCGATAAGTCCCATCTTTCAACACTATACTGGCTTGGTAAACTTATTAGATAGTTTGAATACAATCGGATAGTCCGTTTCCATGATACAAATTAAATTTTCAGCAAAATGTTGACCATTTTGTCTGGTACGTACCAAAAGGAATGATCTGATCCACATCTTCAAACTTGAACAAATTTTGGAAGAAATATTACAATGTGCAAAGTTTGGATGAAATCGGTTACTGGCCAGACAAACAGATGGACGGACATTTTCTGTGTTTTTAAGGTATTGGCCGTAATTTACCACCAAAGTGGCTTTATGTCAGCCTCCAAAAACCCGGAATGTTTTTGGAGGCTGACATAAAGCATACATACATCTATGCAACCTTTTCTGCAAAAGTGTCCGATATAGATACAGTGAGTCACAGTCAAAAGTGAATTCAACAATGCAATTATGTGAATTCAATAAATATAATAATGATTGTTAAATAAAGTTTTTTTTTTAACAAACGGATCTTTTGGATGGTTAATGCTTAGTATGTTATCTTTTACAGCTTTCAACTTTGCATCGATTTTACCAAGTTTTAAGTGTAAAATGTCAAAATTTCCCCCATTCTACTAGTAAAACCTTTTTTAGACTTGGTTCTTGAGATGTTATGGCTTCTAATAATTTCTTCAAAATACTTCACCTGAGAAGGTGTTTGAATCACTTTTGGACAATTATAAAATATCGATTCTGGAACGAACTGGGGCTTGTGTTTTGGAGTCACTATTTTGATAAAATTGAAATGTCCGAAACCCCAATTTTCCTGCACTATATTTCCAATGAAATTTTAAATTGTTTATATAAAAAATCTTATCCATAATTCCTTCAATAAAAACGAGATTTCCTACTCCGACAGCGATTATACAGCCACATACTATTCCTCCGGGATTTACGGTCGGAGTTGTGTGCTTATTCCGATCTGCGTCATACGTTAAATGGTCAATCCGACCCAAACATGATAAATTTGCTTTCATCAGCAAAAATAACAGATTTAAAACCCAGTAAGGAAAGTCGGACGGGGCCGACTATATGATACCCTTCACCACTTTGGGTATATTCAACAGATGAAACCTAACAGACGTCGCATTTTTAAAGGACCAGTAAAATGAAATTGGATCCGTAAACATGTCATTCCGCAACCTATGCTAAATTTTTCATTTGGTCAGATATAGAAGCTATATCTAAATCTGAACCGATTTCAATGAGTTCAGGAAACTTAACACACATCATTCTAGACCTAATTGATTACGCTGTGCCAAATTTCGTGCAAACCGAAATATATTAAGGGACTTTGGTACACCATTTACCTTAAATCGGACGAAAATATATATGGGAGCTATATCTAAATCTGATCCGATTTTCAGGAAACTTAACACACATCATTTTAGACCTAATTCATTACGCTGTGCCAAATTTCGTGCAAATCGAAAGATATATAGGGACTTTGGTGGACCATTTACATTAAATCGGATGAAAATATATATGGTAGCTATATCTAAATCTGAACCGATTTTCAGGAATCTTAACACACATCATTCTAGACCTAATTCATTGCGCCGTGGAAAATTTCGTGCAAATCGAGAGATATATAGGGACTTTGGTACACCATTTACATTAAATCGGACGAAAATATATATGGGAGCTATATCCAAATCTGAAACGATTTTTCCCAATTTCAGTTGGGTTTGTCCTTGGGCCAAATAAGTGAGCTATGCCAAATTTCATCCTAATCGTATCATAAATGCGACCTGTACTTTGTTCACAAAAATACATGGACGGACGGACATGCGTAAATCGACAACACTTCCCACAACTACCTAGCAAATGATAAATCATTCATCTATCGCTATTCTTACATTTATATGGACCCCCTTCACATATTGGAATTAATGCGAACTAGCGTGCTGATAAATTTGCAAAACACGCAATAAACCCAGGATGCAGTATTCAATCTCAGCTATCAGTCAAAGATGGATCCAGACATATTTACAAAATTCTATCTGATGAATGGACTCACAATTATACGGAACTCTTAAAGACAAAAGGAACCTACTTTTTCCAGTTTTTTCCTCAAATACCTAAACTCCATTGGCATTCTTTAACTCCCATTTCGCCAACAGATATCAAACTCATTAACAGACTTTATACAGAACACACGTATGGTAAAGTCTATCATCACCGAAAGAAAATATCAAGCACAAACATCTGCGAGTGCAGCAAATATAATACAGTCAGGAACGATTTTACTTCTTCAGAGACTTTGATAACTTACCCAGTCTATTAATCACAAAATCAACTAGTTTACTACTTTATCTATGTAAATTCATACACAAAGCTGAAATTTGGTTATAACGTTCACTTTGTGATATGCCGATTAGCAGAACCCTACTAACTCAACCTAAAACAGTTGTGGTTCATGATTACTCTTTATTTATTCTTGTTCCCCTATATTTTATGAAATTTCCACTTATTGGCAACCCTAACTGATCGCAAGCACCCATAAGAGACCGCATTTTTGCAAATCCCCAAATGGGGGGTGAATTTCCACTTTGATGTCACATTGTGTGCGTCGTACGTCGTTTGAGATCCGCAGCACTAAATATCTATTCAAAATTGAGATCGTTCATCATTGTTGTAATAATAGCAACAACAAGAATAATTACAAATAAAACATGTGGTGGCACCTACAAAAAACAATGCGAAACAAAATACCGAAAGATTTTCTATTGTCCTGAGTTCTTTTATTATTGTGGAATTAGATGCCAAAATTATAAGGGCAAAGAAATCGCTATTATTTGATCATATGGTGATTATTTTTAAACGGGCACTGTCTCCTATTCATCTCAAATTATTAACTATTACTTTTCCATTGTTTTCTTTTAAAATTTCTAAACAACAACTAAAGGAGATCACATTTTTCCCGCCAAAACAAAAATCAGAGTAGAACTACATATGTTTTTGCCGTCATTGTCTCGGAGAGGATGGGGAGGTTAATACCGTGTGTCATTATTTACTCACTTGACGACTCTTAGGGGTCGTGTTTTGTCTTCGGTGTATTTACCGCTCCAATTAGCATCTCTCTGGAGAGCAGAGAACTGTCTGCATACAAAACGATGAAGAAGAATAATCTTATAAGAACAACATCCAGCTGTAAGGAATTTTCAAGTAAAATATTGACAGTGACACTTTTAATTCAAATAAAATAAAAAATATATATAAAAACAAATTTGTGGCCCGGTGTTTTCAAATTGTTCATAGGGCCAGATTCAATACTTATTGGTGGTAACATATAAGTGTTTTTGTTTTTCTATTTTTGGAAACCCAATGCTCTTGTTCTAGTCTAAAATTGGATGCTATTTAGGTATGTATGTATGTATGTTGTTGTTGATGGGCATCTTTCGAACATGTTGTAAGTGGAAACATACATCAGCATCACTTGTTGCATCGATAGTTCTCCAAGATCAATGAACTCTTGCATGGTTCGAACAAAAACAACAACAAATAGGCAGGTATGGTAGGGGATGAAAGGCTAAAGACAATTTTTGTGACGAAAGTTTTGAAAATCAATAAATTCGAAACGCGGTGCTTATATGGAAAAATTCAGATACGGTAAATGCTACATTAAGAATTTGCGCATTTGAATTTTCATTAGGGGCATATTTAAACAAGTAACAAGACTCGTTAAGTTCGGCGGGGTCGAACTTTTTGCCCTTCACTCACTATGAGGTGAACATTCAAAATACATAAAATCGATCAGAACTTTTGTAGAACGATTTATAATGCAAAATTATAGCCACCCACTTCGGTCGAGAACATTCCTAAAACACCGAATAATATGGGGCCTACTCCGAAACATGAGTCAATATTGGCAAGTTTTTTGCCCACTTAGGATCCAAAATACTACATTACAGCTATGCGAGTGGGACCCTAAAATGTGAATCAATGTTGATAAAATTTTGGTTTTGAAAACCCAACATACCAAATTACAAACAATTCATTTAAAACACAAGCCTAAAATACAGAATACAGGTGAGATAAAAAACACCATAATTTTTACATTTTATTTTCTCATTTTATTGAATTGTCGGAAATATCATTAAATTTTAGAATACGTTTTCATGTGTTCGAATTGGTAACCTTTGGCACGAATTATGACATTCAAACGGCCAATGAAACCGTCACACGCTGCCCGAATCTTGCTCTGCAGTATTTTGACCTATTCCCGACGAAGCGCTTGCTTGAGGTGATCGACACTTCGATATTGTTTAGTGACAACCATTCTTTCCAAAATACTGCAGACACAATAGTCCAACGGATTGGTATCCGAAGATTTTGTTGGCTATTGTGCGCTGGAAATTAAGCGAGAACCTCATTTTGTAACCATTTTTGCGTGTCGCGTGCTGAGTGCGATGGTGCTGAGTCCTGTTGGAATGTCCAAGGTCTGCGGCCAAAATGTTTGCCCGCTGTCTGAGGCTTTAATACACCCTCCAGAATATTTTCGCGATAATATTCGGCATTTATTCTGATGTCACGGTCGATTAATACGAGCGTAGAGCGACCATCGGCTGTTATGGCGGCCCACACTTTCACCATGGCCTGCGCTTGGAGGTGCCGAAGGTGCAGATTTTCAGCTGACCTCATTTTGTTTGTTTACAAACTGCTGGACAACGAATGTTTTCTCATCGGAGAAAACCAAATTCGGCAGTTCACCACATTCGGCCAAGCGATGCAACTCTTTAGCTCTTTTGCGGTATTTCTTTCCGTTGCGGTATAAGTTCTTGCACTTTTTGGAATTTCAATGGCTTTACCCCGAGCTCACGTTTCATTATTTGCCGAATGGCATATTGCAATTTTGTTCAGCTCTCGAACCATGTCAATTCCTACACGATCACGTAGCCCCAACAAAACTTGGGTACCAAAAACCACCACCAAGAAACCCATGGTACGATCAGGAGTGTCGTAATGCTACTGATGTGAAAAAACGCAGCGTATAGGACAACACTGCAGACAGTAGCAACACGTAATGCGATGGAGAATTATCGGGAGAAAAGGAGAAAGAAGAAACGTATTTTCAGAAAAAAGAGAAAAAACAAGAAAAACATGAGCGTGAGCAAATCGAGATGTACAGGAATCAGAATTAAGTCCGCAAATTTTTACCAACGAGTAAAACACCAAACCGAAGGCTTTGGTGCAGGCACATTTTCCTGTAGAGATGAAGAAGGTAACAAATACAGACAGCGTGTTGAGGATCTGGAACTGAAGTCAATGGTCAATGACATTGGACCATACCAATGCAGCTTCAGGACTGGAAAATCCACCATTGACCAGATTTTCACTCTGCGCCAGATCCTGGGAAAAAACCCACGAAAAACACATCGACACATACCACCTATTCATCGACTATAATGTCGCATTTGACAGCCCTATCCGTTCAAAGGTGTTTAAAGCCATGTCTGCATTTGGCATTTCTGCAAAATTAATTAGGCTATGCAGGATACCTTTAACTGGTACAATATCAGCAGTTAAAGTAGGAAAGAACCTCTCGGAGCGCTTCAATACCGAACGATGATTCAGACAGGGTGACAGGTTGTCGTGTGACCTGTTCAACATCCTGCTTGAAAATGTCATACGAGATGCAAATGTGAACAGAAATTGCACTCTGTACACCAAACAGCATATGTTACTCGGCGACGACATCGACACCTTTGAACGAATTGAGAAGGAGTCTGCCAAAGTGCGACTGGCTGTAAATGGCGAGAAGTCCAAGCTGATGGTATCAACGCGCAAGACGTATAGTAGACTCGGACCAACTGTGGAACTTGAAAACTACAGCATCGAGGTAGTGAACGATTTTATATACCTCGGTACCGCCACAAACAAAACGAATGACATCAGTTTTTTTTTTTAAATTCGGAGAAGGATAGTTATGGCCAATAGATGCTACTATGGTCCGAGCAAACAACTCAAAAGCAAGGCCACCTCTTGTCATACCAAACTCACACTCTACAAGACGCTGATACTACCCGTGCTGTTATATGGATCTGAAGTATGAGTACTTGTGCAAGCAGATGAGGCAGCTCTTGCAGTGTTTGAGAGAAAAAATCTCCAAAAGATCTATGGGCCGATCTGCGTTGACGGTGAATCATGGGTTGTACCAGCTATTCTCGTACATTGACATTGTTAGACGTATTGAGCTGCAGCGACCTAGCTAACGTAGGTCATGTTGTGAGTATGGATGAAGAGGCCTCAGCCCAGAAGGCATATAAAAGCGAAACAGCTGATGGTTTACGCAGGAGGGGAAGGCCAAGAATATGATGGAAAGACCAAGTGGAAGACGACATTGCCGAATGTGGTCTTTCAGATTGGCGCAAAAGACCGACGCGCCTAGAAATCTTTTTTAAGCTCGGCTTATGGAACGAACGTTCTGTAACAAGCCAGCTATGTAAGTAACTATCCGGTAACTAACAAATTTCCAACTTCCTGGCAATTTTCTATAATTTCAGTTTAATATGTTTAATTAACATCCATCTAAGCTATTCAAAAAATTTTAAAGAAAAAATAGAAAAACTGTTTTATTTCACGACTTACATAAAAATGTACATAAAATTAATTATTTATAATTAATTGTGCACTCAATATTTTTTTCTTACTCCCGAGAGAAAATTTTTCGAACAAAAGAAAAACATAACATAAATCGGCATTTAATTTGATTAACTTGTATCATTGTTCAAGAATGCTTCACCAACAGCTCAAGAGCATTGTGTATGCCTTAAAAGGAAAAAATAAATCTCAAATATATGCTATCCACTTAATAAAAATACATCAATGATCCCACTTAATGAATCTGAATCTGCAGGTTAATTCACTCGGTGTAACAATAAAACAACAACAACAATGAACAATTTTTGTTTGTTTTCCAATACTCAACACTAATTGAGATTTAATTCAATCATAATAACGAGCCCCCGCAGGCCAGAGGGATGAAGATTGGAAATTAAAATACACACACTCTAGGAAAAACAAAAACAACAAAAAGAAGAGATCGGTAGGGAAAAAAATCTCTGAGCTCTTGACGTTGAATGGAATTTTTTTTTTCACTGTACTAAATTAATTCTGAATATACCAGGGATGGATCTCCAATTGATTTTGTATACGTACAAGACACCATTGAATTTTTGGCGGGACTTTTATTTTATTTATTTTTTTTTTGTCGACGACCTGTTGTGAAAAATAAAACCTTGCATAGAGATACGCATACCTATGTATGTATGTACTGTTAATCTCCTTTTGAATTTGCAATATATTCCCTATGTATATTCCGGTATGACATCGTCGGGTCATTGTTCCCAATAGTTGCTGCCGCTGTTGCTGCTTTTTTTCTTCCTGTATAAATTTTGTATATAATTCTTTTGCAAATTTGTTGTTGTTGGTTGGTTTTTCGCATGAGTGGAAATGTCAAATTGGACCCTTGTTATCATCGATTTTGAGTTCTTCGTTTTTGTTTTTTCATCTGTAGCCATGATGACAAGGTTTCAGAAATTTTATTTTTTTTTATTTGTTCTAAATTTATTCTGCCTTTTCCAATGATTAATGAAGAAGCTCAAGCTTGTCTGTCTGTTATCAGCAAGTGGTATGGCTTAGCGTTAATATGTGTGCGTCTGATTGTGTGTATACCAAGTAATTTAAAATAATTTCAATTTCAAATCGCTGTTTTGAAAATAATTAATAAATTCAGATTAAATGTTAGTTTTTTTTATGAGAGATGCTCTAATCTGGAAGAAATGAAAAAAACTTACACAAAGTAATAAAAAGTATGAATTAATATTATTAATTTGTTGTTAGGTTAGAGGGTCACACAAATCGAATGTAATTATTATAGTTTTTATTATTATTTTTACGATTATTTGTTCAAATTAAAATGTAATAAAAAATAAGAAATTGACTTGGGCTACGAATAGTCAAAGATGGAAAGCATTCTAATCAGAAGAGAGAGAGTGTCTCAGAATTATCAAGTGAAATATACCACCATAGGTATATAGACACTTAGAAGGTCCCAATCATACGTGGAACAATGCTACACCGAATGAGTTTGGAAAGAGTGGCTAAAACCTCTGACTATATGATACCCTTCACCACTTTGGGTATATTCAACAGATGGAAGCCTAACAGACGTCGCATTTTTGAAGGATCATTAATATGAAATGAAACAGGTCTTTCTGCAACCTATAAATTTTGGTCAGATATAGAGTTGCTTCTTACAATAGGACAAAATTATGTAAATTAATTTAAAGCAAAATATCTAAATGTAAACCGATTTTATCGAAACTTGTCACATTTTAGGTTACACTTATTTTTTATGTTTCGCGCATTCGGCCACATTTTGAGTTCTTTATTCTATATAAAAACATATAGGGGCTTTGGTGCACCATTTATTTAAAATCGGACAAAAATATATATGGGATCTATATCTAAATCTGAACCGATTTTTACGAAATTAAAAACACATATTTCTAGACTTAATTCAGTACGCTATGCCAAATTTCGTGCAAATCGAAGGATACATAGGGACTTTGGTGCACCATTTATCTAAAATCGGACGAAAATATATATGGGAGCAATATCCAAATTTGAACCGATTTTCATGAAATTTACAAACATCATTCTAGACCTAATTCATTACGCTGTGCCAAATTTCGTGCAAATCGAATGATATATAGGGACTTTTGTACACCATTTACCTTAAATCGGACAAAAATATATGAGAGCTATATCTAAATCTGAACCGATTTTCATAAAACTTAACGCACATCATTCTAGACCTAATTCATTACGCTGTGCCAAATTTCGTGCAAATCGAATGATATATAGGGACTTTGGTGCACCACTTACAAAAAATCGGACGAAAATATATATATGAGCTATATCTAAATCTGAACCGATTTTTATGAAATTTTACACATATTATTCTAGACCTAATTCATTACGCTGTGCCAAATTTCGTGCAAATCGAATGATATATAGGGACTTTGGTGCACCACTTCACACATCATTCTAGACCTAATTCATTACGCTGTGCCCAATTTCGTCCAAATCGAAAGACATATAGGGACCGTTTACATTAAATCTGACGAAAATATATATGGGAGCTATATCTAAATCTGAACCGATTCGTCGTCCTTGGGCCAAACAAGTTTGGCATAGGTCAAATTTCATCCAATTCGGATCATAAATGCGACCTGTACTTTGTTTACAATTTAACATGGACAGACAAACGGACATGCATAAATCGACTCAGAAAGTGATTCTATGCATATTCTATCTCGTTTCCTTTTGCCTGTTACAAACATATGCACAAAGACATAATACCCTGTACCACAGTGTGGTGAAGGGTATAAAAAGGCAGGAGGGTATAAAAAGTTAATTATGTACACACATTACGGCAAATGCAATGAAT